TCAAATTTCAGATATAAATTTTATTTATAAAATCAAATATTAATTCATCTCCATCTAAATTATAATTACCCAAACCCTAAAAATCCCAAATCATTTATCACATTTCATTCTTTCTCTATCCCCTCCTCTCTCTCCTCCTCCTCCTCCTCCTCGCTGTCTCTCTCATCTCTCACCTCTCTCTATCCGAACTTTTCTTTCGCCGGAGACCACCACAAATGTTGCCTCTACGAGACACATCGCAGTTGCCCACGGCGTAAACGACGCGCTGCGCTCAGCGATCGCTGTGCACATTGCAAATCGCCGCTGCTGTGTGGCCGAACACCCTCACCCTTCCAATAAGATAACAAGCTGCTCGAAGTGGTGAAGGGATGTCAAGGTGGTGGCAACTTTCGCGAGGTTCCCAAGGCGTGAACGACGTTGCCCTCAACGGTCGTTGTGCACATTGCAACATTGCCGCTGCAGTTTGGCTTGAGCGGCGCTGCTGCAGCGGTCATTGTATAATGCGCATCGCTGCTGTGAGTGGCTTCACTGCTGTGAATGATGAGGGATCTAAGAAAAATTTGGCTACAATTTGGTGTCGGGGTTTTGTTAGTTGTGTGAGTTTTATTGGTTGCGATATGGGGAAAATTTGGGGTGAGTTTTTGTTGATTATGTGCAATTGGTGGTGGTGGTGGCATTTTTCATGAGTTTTGTGGCCGTTTTGATTTTTTTTTGGGTGATTTTTGTTTGTTCCGTTTGTTGTTGATGGTGGTGTCAATGTCAATGGTGGTTGCCGGGTGATCATCGCAGTGTCAGTGGTGGTGCGGCTGTTGTTGCGAATTTAATTTGTTGGTATTTTTTGGGCGACGGTGACAACGATTTCGTTGGATATTATTGGCGGTGGTGGTTTTGGTGGCGGTAGTTATTGGAAGTGGTGGTGCCTGGTGGATTGGGGTATGTAGTGGAATTAAGAGGGTTTATGATCAATTATTTAAGATTGAGATCATTAATTTGGGTATTATGTGACTAAAAAATAACACATGATCGATAAATTGTGACCAATAAATAATATGTGACTTAAAAAATTGAATTGTGATTTATGAAATTTGTGATTTGTGACCGATAAATGAATTGTGATTTATAAAATTTTTGATTTGAAACCGATAATGAATTTGTAACCAAATTGTATACAATTGCGACCAAGTTGTGACGTATAAATTTTTTTATTTGTGCCCGATGAACAAATTTTGACTTATAGAATTTCTGAATTG